GACAAAACAGGAGCCGTTGTCATCAGGGTGAAAACCAAGACGATCACTTGGTGACAAGGATGAGAGTAAAAATGTACTCGTTATCATTTCTGTAATTGCTGATATCAATCAATCAAATCAATGAGAATAGAGCTGGAAGGGACCTTGGAGGTCATCTAGTCCAGCCCCTTGCTCAAGCAGGAGAAGCTATACCATTTCAGACAAGTGGCTGTCCAGTCTCTTCTTGAAAACCTCCAGTGCACCAGTGGTGGGATTCAAAAGCACCAGTGGTGGGATTCAAAATTTTTTACTACCTGTTCTGTGGGTGTGGCTTGGTGGGCGTGGCTTGGTGGGCGTGGCAGGGGAAGGATATACTGCAAAATCCTCCTTCCCTCCCCACCCCACTAACCTGCTTTCCAGCTCCGTTCTCCTGTGCAGGGCAACCAAAGAAGACTCAATGGGAGCAAGAGAAGAGATGAGGTTGGCAGGGCCAGTCAGAGGCAGGATTGGCCGGTTCTCTGAACTATTCAAAATTTCCACTAACGGTTCTGCAGAACCGGTCAGAAGTGGCTGAATCCCACCTCTGTGAAGCACCCACAATTTCTGGTGGCAAGCTGTTCCACTAGCTATTCCCTCTTTCAAAGCCAAACATTGCCTTCCAGTCAGCAAAAATTGTCCATGCCTGTCACATCATGGTGTAGCCTTGGAACTCATACATGACTTTTTAGCTGTTTTTGTCCTTCACATTTCCTGTTCCTGATTTATATCTTCTTATCCTAAATTGTAAAGCCACAACTGGGCAAGGCCAGGGTTTGTGATGTGGAAGAAAATGCCAGCGGCAAAAATTTATATGCCAGGTTGGTTGGTTGGTTGGTTGGTGAGTTAAGCTATTTTACTATCCAGCCCAAACAGCAATTCTTGGTCAGAACAGATCTTAGGAATGGTCTCAAATTTATCAGCAAGTTAGCATGGAGATAAAAAGATGGATTAAAAACCATAACAATTCTGCACTGCACATCCAACCAATTAGCCAACCTTGTACGATGGCATATGCAGCTGCATTGTGGACCACGCGTAGAATGCATAA